AGAATAAATTCTCATACCATCAAGACCATCTTTTGTTGATTGTGTATATTCATTTTCTGTTTCTAAATCCTCACATTCACTATCGTCGTCTACTTCTGATGTCGATGAATTATAATTTGTTTCTTCATCAGAATCACTATTATCACCATTATCTAATGTAGAATCATCATTTAAATAAATCATTTTTCCTAAAACATGACGAATATTCAAACACAAATCATTTAATCGAAAAACATTTTTCTTTTTTAAAAGCGAAGACATTCCTAATTTGTCAGCAAAAGTTGTTGCATATTCATAAGCAGCATGAATTTGTTTTTCGATGTTATCTACTGTAAGTTCATCTAGATCTGTTATTGATGATGAAAATGCATTGTGTTTGTTTTGCTTATGATGTTTTGGAAATTTAATTGCATTAGAATTAACATTCGACTCTTCGAGACATTTAATTTCATTTAAAATGGAAATTTTTCTAGTTTTTGACAGAAAATGTTGCATGGTGAAATTTTTCATTGTTAAAAACGGCCCGGTTAATGCTCTAGCGCTACGAAATATATTTTCGCATGGCTGTGAACTAAATAGGAATATATTTAATGATTCCATGGGCAACTTTTTGTTTAATACTAATAATAAAATAAAAGTTAGCATGTGAGCATTTAACTAAATTGAGTGAAATGCTGGAAATGTCATAAAATGATGCTCTATTGTTTTGTAAGATGGCATTTGAACTTTTTGACTTGTTGCTTCTGTGTGAATCATTAGTTTATATCTTATCTATGTGAACCAAAATCTAGAAATAAAGACGATTGACCATGCATAGAATATTCTCATCAATATGTTTGTTGTTTTATCAATATAAGCCTTGGTTATAAAGCGTAAAATTGTTAAATAACAATGTGTTCCAAATGTACTTTGATTTTGATCTAACATATTTAAAACATTGGACGATGAAATTTTTAAGCACGATGCATAGTTTTGCCGATCCTTTACATATATATCTGATAAGACTAAATTATGATCTAACTTGGAATATTTATCTATAAGATTTTTAAGATGTTTCACAGATATTTCAAAATCACCCATTACTAATGAAGCAGTTGTTGACAACAAACGATTTCTTACTTTTGTTGCCAAATGAATGGAATCCTAGAAACATAAAAACAACTGCTTTTTACGTAAAAAAACCATAACCATGAATTTGGAATATGAACATCAAAAATATCGTCTCTGTTCAATAAATCAATATTGGTTAACTGTGCAAAATATCCTTAACAATCAAAAAAATGTTTAAACAAGGAAAAGCTTGTTTCAATGATAAAACTAACCTATGGCTACCCTCATGGCTTTTATATACTTCGAATCGGCGTCGCTAGCAAATCCAACAACTCTAATATTATTCTTTTTGCATTTATCATATATAAATAACCAACGGGCAAGTACTGAAAGATGATCATTTTGACTATCAGTACCAAAACTGGATAAGAGAAATGGTGACGACGCTACACTATTGTTATAGGTTGAATAGTACGAATATTTACTTGTGTTGATTGATTTAAAGTATCAAACCATTCTTATAATTGAAGAAAGTCGTCAGTTTGATACTGACGAAGCATTGGAATACCATTGATTAGTTCTGGACAAAAACCAACAAATGAATTAGTTGCAACGTCATACTGCACTTTACTAATGACACCAGTACACTCCTCAGAAGCATATATATAAGAACAATTAATTTTTTTAGAATAAATAGTAAATTCATCAAAGCGAAATTCACCTTCTTCAATACGAGTGCAATATTCATTATTGTAAGATTCTAATGTTGGTTTAGATGGAAATGCATCAGGTATGTTTAACCGTAACAGCTCATAAACATTTCACCCACCTAGTGCATATACTGATGATGCAAATCGTCGAGTATTTGTATTGTATTGATATCGGTGTTTAGAACGATTCATATTATCAGAAATATTATCTATGAATGTGTTTACAAAATAATTCGACTCTGTATTTGAATCTTGTTTCTGATTTTCTGAAAAATATGGTTGCTGTTGTGGCAATTTATTTTTCAGTACATTTATACAATAATCAAGATTTTCTTTTATAGCTGGACGTATCATATATTCGCCATTTTTTAACTGTAAACATGCATGGTTTCTTAAATCTTTTAATTTTTCACAATCAATTTTAAATATAGAAAATAAATCTTGCGATCGTAATAGAGAAAGAACATTATTAATTCTTTGAACTTTTAAAATTTCAACTTCAATATCATTGGTCATTTCTTTTATAAGATGGAAAAAATGATCAGATTTTATTTTGCCAATTTCAAGAACAGCGTTGTTGTTCATATCTGAAATAATATTTATCTAGAGCAGTATGTCATACAAAATAATTGAAAATTATAAATGACAAAATTTATTCATATAAAACTGTGAAACTAATTAAATTTGCTAGTTAAACATGCAGTTCAGCATCGGTACTCCTCGTTGGATGCCCAATGGGATGGATTACGACGAGACTTCTAAAAAGCATCTCATAAGATACGAAGGGAGACAACTTTTTCCAGGAGGAATCCATAAAAGATTAGCTGCGTTTCTCTGTTAGCACTTTAGTTTTTGAGATAGATGATTTCCTGTTAATTTAAACAGAAAAGTGAATTAATTTTCTAATAGAATCTTGCCATAGAAAAAGTTTTGCATTGTCTTGTTCTATACAAGTTTTTGAAAAGTTGTGTTCCACGTGGAGCTCTTCTCTATGTACAGCTGAATATTTTGCTGAAATTAATAAACAAGTGTCCTATTTGAAAGATGCTCGCACAAATAAAGAATTCATCTAATCAAAAATGTATTTAATGTATTATCTAATCAACATCTATTCAAAGTTATTTTTCTACATAAGCGTATACATATATAAATAAGAACATTTTTCGGGAGCGATAAAATTGTGTTCATTAAATATAACAAGCGAATTTGTGATGTATCCAGTGCAACAAATGTTTGCACCTTTCCATCAAGCATGTGACTTTTATATCATTGAAAATAAGTTAAAATTTAACCTTCGTTTATTACCAATAGGTGTATGCATTTTATATACTTAGTTGATTTGAATAGTATCCATTGATTGTGAAAGTAACAGACATACTTAAACTATTATTTTTATAATCATATTAGTGAGACAAAGGTATGTGCACATTCGAGACTATTCATTAAAGCCAGTGATCTTCTCTCATACATGTGACCAACTGAATTACAAACTTATCTATTTTAATTTGTACTGCCCATCACTTTTATAAACATCTCGATTAGTTGACTCCTTCTCATGATTGACGCATATACCTTATCGAAAAATACATTTTTTCGACAAAATTGTATTTCTATGATTTTTTTTACAAATACAGAGCTGGCTTTATCAAAATATAGAGAAAAGAAACCCCATTTATTTTCTCATCATAATAGTAAATATTGTTAATAGCACTGATCAATAAGATCAGGGGTCGCAGCGGTGTCATGTAAAAAATCAGGAATCAGGACAAGAATTTTCGAAGAAAAAATCAGGAAAAGGGACCCAAAATCAGGATAATCAGCATTGCTTGGAAACACAGGGAAAGATGTAAATATACGAATGTTTTTTAACGAGGCGCACAACCTGTTCGTCTAATGCATTTTTCATACTTCTTGTTGTTGCGAGACACATATCTTCTCATTTCTCGTTTCTGATCGTACTTTCGCGTGGTACTTTCCTTCCAATGTTTCGCCGATGGCCATGCACATGAAGTTCACCTAGTATTCGTTGAGAGCGATCAGAAAACTTGTAGTTTTAACACGTGTGGAGGGTTGAATAGAGCTGAATTTTATTACTTTCCGAAAGAGACCAACTGCTTTAAAATCGTTAAGTTNTGCCTTTACATATAAAATACACATTCTTTTTCGTTACCTCCTTTTGTCCAAAAAATTTAAAAAATTTTTGACAACTCCTATTCGAAAACCAGCGATTTTTAAAAAAATTAAAAAATTGTTTTCTTTATTCCTTAAAGTCGTAGTCGAACGACGCAGCCCCCAAAGAAGTCAATTATTATCCGATATTAAGTTAAATATTTTTTTTGTTTGAAAGAGCATGCCAAAATGCAGTTCCTGTGAGGGTCCTCTTTTTGATAAAGTTTTCTTATTATTACACTGAAAAGCAACTTTGTAATATAAGCAGGATTTTTTTGAGGACTTTTTGACTGATTGAATTTGTGAAACTTTTTTTCTTATTAAAAATAAGAATAAAAAAAGGCTCTCATAGGTACTGCATTCTGGCATGCTCTTTCAAATGAAAAATCAACGGACCAAATTGAATGAACATCCATGGGGAAATTTGGGAGCTGCGATGAGCTATTTTTCGACCCTTGTTTGGTTTGTATCTACCATATATATCAGGGTAGGAGGCTGAAAATTTTATCACAGATGCACTTTTGCACCCCCAACATAGCCACAAAGTTTCATGCTATCTCGATGCTCTGAAGCTGGGATCGAATTTTGAGGCGAGGGGGAGCTTAAAAGTTGGCAAAATTATGGGAAAAAGTGTGTGGATGTGGTGTGTTAGCGTAGGGTATGGATGTTGGGTGTACGGATTGAGCGTAGATGTGGGTGTGGGGTGTGCAGGTGGGTGTGCCGTACAATTGTGGTGTGCGAGTGTGAGTAAAGGAAAGATCTGTATCTACAATCGCATTCACCCACATCTCTACGTCCACCCATGTGTGATAACTCCCTTGATAATCTAGCGTATTTTCCTATTTCATTTGTTCTATGTTCTTTACGTGTATAGATCCGTGCTGCTACTTTTTGAGATTTCTATAAAATTGCAGCAAAATAAGTTATATACGTAAAATTAGTTCTGGAGTTTCCAGGAATCTTAAATTCTGCATTAATTTCTAATCATCTCATTCTTTTCATGATTTTACTAATTTTTAAGTTTTTAAAAAATTATATTGAATTTATCAACAAAAAAATTGTAGCTTAAGGCCAAGTGAAATTGGAGCGTAAATGTGTCTGCGAGACAGCTGTCTGGACAGCAAATGCCATAGGGGAGCAAATGTCACTAGGGAGCAAGTGTCCGGGGAGCAATTGTCGTTGGGGAGCAACTGTCATTGGGGAGCAAATGTCGCGAGAGCAAATGTCGCGGGAGCAACTATCGCTGGAGAGCAATTGTCCGGGGAGCATCATTCGTGTTACTATATAAATGTCCTCTTGCAAATAAAGAAATTTCGATCTGAAACTTTTGCTATACAAAGACCTTGTGGTCCTTACAACAGTCTAAAAGTTTCAGCGCAAATGGATCTTTTCTTCTGAAGATAACACGTTTGCAAGAAATAATCATTCTTCACAGCAAAGTCAGAAAATTGATTATTTTGAGAAGGATGCATTCGCTTGCACTGAAACTTTCAGAAGACTTTAAGCACCACGAGGTCTACATATGATAGAAATTTCAGCTCGAAATTCCTTCATTCACAAGAGAATAGTGCTAGCAGATTCTTGAATTTTTCGGATTCTTCATGGATTGGCAAGCCCGATGAACCAATCTTTCTCCCTTGTGCAAAGCTGCTCGGATTCAATAGTTTTGTACCAGGACCTAGTATCAAATTACTTTTATAATGCAAATTGCTTGAGTCAATGTTTTATTCAGTAGAGATCACTAAGGAATCGGCAAAGGAACGAGAACAGACTTCTGATATTATCACTCATCCTACTTGTTTTTTTCTCAATGTAGCCAAGTAAGAATATTTTTCTTGAAGGGCAATGAGCTTCAGTTTTAACTCAACAATACGTCAGCATGAGATGCTCTTCTAGTTGTGGTAGAAATATCTCTCGAACTGCCATTGTTTACCAATATTAAAGTTCGTATGTAATTGACTTTTTTGTCGTTATACGTTTTGTTTGGCTCTAAAAGATTTTCCAGAAGAAAGTTTTGGTTAAGGATGGTGCATAATGCATATTGTACGAATCTCTATGATTGTCTTCGCGTGGGAAAAAAGATCCTTAATTCAGCAATATCTACACCCATAACCATACCGAACCAATCCGAAATCATATGGCTAGTTAAATAACTAAATATTTGCACAGTAGTATATTATACTTTTCAAATTGAATCGAAACTGATTCTTTTTAATATCCTCCACCTCATCCCCAAAGCATAGAAGTGCACTTGCAAGACTATCATTTTCCGAATATAATAGAAGCTCATTTATTTTGAAGAATGCATATATGGAAAAATGAAAAATCCAAATAATATGCCTGAAAATCTTCACTACTTTTGACTAAATGATTATATGTTCCTCAATTGAATTCCTTTGCGATATAATATTTTTTTGAGCTAAGTAACCTAATTAATAATATTGCTTCTAAACAATATTATTTCTTCTTTCCATTTTATACAATCGTGCCATCAAGAGAGTTCAATGGACAGGACAATTGGCCTTATTAGTGATCTTTTAAAACTCTATATTTTTGTTTCACGAATCGCAACAAGTTTTTGAGAGCTTTGCTCAGAGAAGCATCCAATATGTCATCGTTTTTATTACTAATCAATTACATGAACACACTGTAAAAAAAAAGGAACTTTACCGAACCTTAAAAAAAGGTTCGGTAGATGACAAAAAGCTTGCGAATGTGCTCAAAGTTTCAAACAGAGAATAAAAAAATCTACGAAACCTTTAAAGGATCTTCCCCTGGACACACGGGAAGATCTTTCTTTTGTTCGAAACCTTTTTAAGTTCCGTAGAGCGAAAAATAGGTTTCGTAGGAAAATACGGAACCTTTAGGGTTTCACAATAAATATAATGGCTTTATACGAAACCCAGTGCGAAACCTTGAGGTTTAATACAAAACCCTAAAGGTTCTGTATTTTCCTACGAAACCTATTTTTCGCTCTACGGAACTTAAAAAGGTTTCGAAGAAAAAAAAGATCTTCCCGTGTGTCTAGGGGAAGATCCTTTAAAGGTTCCGTAGATTTTTTATTCTATTTTAATTCTAAAAAGTGTGCCATGAAAGGCTTTCGTATTCTTCTTTATGTTTATCCTTACCAAAATGCATTATTAAATAATGAAGCAGCAATATAAATGATACAATATTACCTACTTCTTTTATTAGCGCCAGAAAGTTATTTTGGAATTTATGTCAGACTCTGCCCAATAACTATTTAGATACAAAACAAGTGAAAAGACAACTGTCGATCGTTTTTCTATTCTTCTTCAGAGTTTTTACTTTGTAAGTGGCAGCAGAAGTCTGGTGGATATTATTGAGAACAACAGACAAGAACTCACCATTCTTCTGTATGGAAAACGCATCTAATTATGTAAAACTAGGATACATTTCATTAGATTCTTATAGAAAGATTTTGTCATATTACAAATTTACTATTATCTTGAAAAAACCAAAATTGAACATGGCGAGTTTTTTAGATTTAGAAAACTTGATGAATTTCCTGTTGTTTAATGCATAAAAACATCATCTGAATTTCGCTCGAATAGGCTTAGTTTGGGCTTAACGTTACTATGAATTTTAAAAATGTAAATAAGAGTGAGAATTCTTGCAATGATTGTTGATAGTAGTAAAATAGAGAGAGATTTGCTTCTTTCTCTATTTAAGATAAGAGTAATGGACTTCAATCGAAAATATGTAGAAAATTCTAAAATCAATTCACATAGTTTTTGGATACAGAAGTTAATATAGACGTCGACTATATTCGAATAACCTTTGTTAAAGTTGAGCTGTAACATAGAAAAAGCTCGACAAAGTAGTAAGGATATCGGAGATCGTCGCTATTTTTCCAAATAGAAACATCTTGCAAACGAATAAAATTCTCAGGTATATCCTAGTCTTTTTATTCCAGAATCCTTTTGAACTGATTTATCTGTTTCATAAAATATCGACTGGATGTCTATACTCATAGACTTTCATGCATAAGTTTGTTATTGTTTAAAATATTATGAATAGTTAGCTGTAACTCAGTTGTACTACAGAGCTATATTAAATAAATACTTCAATAATGACAGCATACGCTAACTTCAAGTCTTCATGAAAATTTAGATGTGTTCAAGTGACTTTGTAACAGAAGAATGGACAACTTATCTTTCGTCTTACAATCCAACTTATTTGTTCTATCCGCTAGACATACGCAGTTCGGCTTCATCTCAATTTCAAATACTTGCAGCTCTGTGTCAAACTTCACAGAAAGGCGTGTTGCAAGGATTATCAACTTTCTCTTCGAGCAAGATTGTGACACCAATGATGGTCTCTCGTGTAGTTTTCAATGCTCAAGTTGATCTTCTTGTATCTGATTCAAAGACAAAACTGCTTTCTCAACAACAACGTACAAGTCTTCTCACTCGTGTTACAAATGCGCAAGCCCAACTATCTACTACTCAACTTAGCAATGGCGTATATTATATTAGTAGTAATACTTGGCGTCTTATCTACTTCACTCAGTAAGAATTCTGACTTTTGATAGGCTTTCAGCAATTACCAGGACTACAGAAAATGCATCAAACGCATGCTGAAATCAGATAGTAAAACAATCCGACGACTTCTTACTAGAGTATTGAACCTGAGGCTCAGATGTCGTTTCTTTGTTTGACTCAACAGTTATCGACTTGTTTGCTAAGAAAAATTATTCTCTCTTTCAATCCATGCACACTTGATGTCAGTGTCAAATTCGGAATGGGTCACGAAAATTTAATTCATGTCGAATACTGATTAGCATACGTAACTGATAGTCCTAGTTTCAGCCAATGAACTCTGCATACCCAAGAAAGATATATTCCATGGGTAATTTATCATATTCCATCAATGGATGACATTATTCTTGATGAGTTCGGGATTATCTGTGTTTACCAAGGGGGAAAAAACACATTCGGACATTCTGAGCCATTCCAATCTAATCCATTGCAATCCATTCCAATACATTCGGAGCTATTTCAATCCCAATCGAAGGCTTGCAACTATCTTTCGCTTTGATTAGACCTTCTATTACTAGATCGAGACTAACTGGTTCTAAAAAAAATAAGTTCTAGTCAAAATTGCTAGTTATAAATTCACAATACCCACGTAATTTGTCAATATTATATAAGAGGTGCCAGTTGTCGGTAGATATTAATGAAATCTGCGCATTTTAATTGCGAAGTAAATGTTCGCACATTTCAGTTATTAATTCAGTAAAGAAGATTACTTTAATGTTTCTAAAACATATGTGCAATGTTTGATTCTAGGGTTTTAAAATTTTTATTCTTCATCAGCGATTTCTCAGTTTTTCATTGGTATTTAACTCAGAATGAACATAGTTATATGTAACTAACTATTAAATCCTATTATTCAATTAAACTGTGTATTTTAAGATGAGTCTTGTAACCTATGAAAATCTTTCTCCTTCACTGGTTTTTCTCTTCAAGCATAGTTGGCTCAAAATAACCAAAGCCGTCATTTTCATTAGCGCAACTCATTTAATATAATATAACTGTACGTTGTCACAACATTTAAGAAATCTTATGAGGCAATCATATACAGTCTTGTGATAGCAACCATTTGATAGAATAAGTGTACATGAGACCAATATCATACAAATGAAGTTTATGGAAGACGAATCATCGTAAATCTTCCTATTTACTGGAATAGAAATGTAGTCGAACAAAGAGCATTAACAATAAGTGATCAAGAAAGCTAAATTTTCATTATCTCAAGTTATCCTTCTTTAACCTAGACGCTTATTAAAGTAAGAGATTTCATATGGTATGAAGAAGGACATTTTAACTTTATGTAAGATTTAAGTTTGGCATTTTTCATTTTAATTATAGAGATGCAATAGAAGATATTCTATTTAGTACATTAATAACTCTTTTTAAATAGATATAATCTTAGATTGCGCTTTTGTCAACCACTTTGAGTCGAAATTATTAAAAACTGATGTTGTAAATTCAAAGAATTCATTTCAACGTTTTTATCATGAAAACAGATTTCAAATTTATTATTTTTCCATTCAGAAAAAAAGGTATAAATGGTGAATTGAAGAAAAAAATTCCATTCCGTACAAACAAGTGAATCAGGTTCAATAAGCTAATACAAACAGTAATTAAAGAAAAACATTCATGTGTATTCTTTAATTGTAAGCATGTTAGGAAAAAAATATGTTACTGTTTATTCATTTTTTGAACACGTACTAATCTGTCTGAGGATAGCCGACTGTTTTTATTAGTTAGGTACCAAACAGCAGTTTGCTTGTTGATATATTTCAGTTTATTGTTAATTTCAACTTCAAAATACTTATATTTATCTTTGTCAGGAATTGTAGAATATATTCGCATACCATCGTAACCAACTTCTGTTGATGTTGCATATTCAGTTTCTGTTTCTGAACCTGAAGATTGACTATCATATTCTATGTCTGAAATTAACGAATAAGTTGTTTCTTCATCTGAATCACTATTATTGCCATTATCTAATATGGAGTCATCATCAAAATAAATAATTTTTTCTAAATCACCACGAATATGCACACATAAATCATTTAATTCAAAAGCGTTATTTTTTATTAGAAGAGAAGAGATTCCCAATTTATCAGCTAAATTCCTTGCGTATTGATAAGCCTCATGAATTTGTTTTTCAATATTCTGCAGTGTAAGTTCATGAACGTTTGTTGTTGATGGAAATGCATTGCTTTGGCTTTGCTTATGATGTTTAGGAAATTTAATTGCATCGAAATCAGTATTGAATTCTTCAAAACTTTTAATTTCATTTAAAATTCCAATTTTTCTAGTTTTTGAAAGAAATTGTTTTATAGTGGAATTAGTCATGGTGGAAAGGGGTCCTGTTAATGCTCTGGCGGTGCGAAATATATTTTCGCACGGCTGTGAACTAAACAGGAATATATTCAATGATTCGATAGGCAGCTGCTCATTTAATACTAGAAGTACAATAAAGGTTAAAGCATGTGCATTTATTTCAATTGAATGAAATGCAGGAAATGTCATAAAATGATGTTGTATTGGTTTATAAAATGGAATATGTGTCTTTTGAGTTGTCGTTTTTGACTGAGTCGTTAATTTACATCGAATCCATGTAAACCAAAATCGAGAAATAAAGACAGTTGACCATGCATAGAATGTTCTCATTAATATATTTGTTGTTTTATCAACATAAGCAACTGTTACAAACCGTAAAACAGTTAAATAACAATGTGTTCCAAATGTGCTTTTACTTTGTTCTAATATATTTAAAACATTAAGTGATGAGATTTTTAAACATGATGCATAATTTTGTCTATCTTTTACGTATATATCCGATAAAACTAAATTATGATCTAATTTTGAATATTTATCTATGATATCTTGAAGATCTTTCACTGATATTGTATATTCTCCCATTAACAATGAGACAGTTGTTGATAAAAGCCGATTTCTTAATTTAGTTGCTAAGTGAATTGGATCTTGAAAGCATAAAAATGATTGTTTTGTGCGTAAAAAGAACCATGACCACGAATCTGGGATGTGTATCTCAAAAATGTCGTCATTGTTCAATAGGTTGATATTTGATAATTGTGCAAAATATCCTTAGTAAATAAAAACAAGTATTACAATAAAAATATCTTCTTTCACTAAATACACTAACCTATAGCTAGTCTCATAGCTTTCAAATATTTTGGGTCTGCATCGGTTGTGAATCCAGCAACTCTAAAATTTCTGCTTTTGCATTGTTCATATATAAATAACCAACGAGAAAGCACTGAAACATAATCATTTTGATTATTAGTGCCAAAACTAGATAATAGGAATGGTGATGCTACGTTTTTTAATCGGCTGAATTGTATAAATATTTATCTGTGTCGATTGATTCACAGTATTAAACCAATCTTCCAATTCATGAAAGTCGTCAGTTTGATATTGCCGACGTATTGGTATACCGTTATCTAATTCTGGACATAATTCGACAAATGAATTAGTTGTAACATTATACTGCACTTTACTAATAACGCCAGCACAATCTTCAGACACGAAACCAGATGAACATTTTATTGTTTTAGAATAAGTAGCTAATTCATCAAAACGAAATTCACCTTCTTCAATAGGTGTATAATATTCATTACAATAAGCTTCTAATGTTGGTATTGATGGAAATGCACCAGGTAAATTTAATCGTAAAAACTGATAAACATTGCGTCCACCTAGTGCATATACTGATAATGCAAATCGTTGGGTATTTGCACTGTATTGATAATGGCATTTGGAACGATTCATATTAGCAGAAAAATTATTAAGAAATTTATCCACAAAGCAATTAGATTGTTTTGGTGAACTTTGCTCCACATTTTGAGAAGTATATGATTGTTGATCATTTAATTTATTTTTCAGAACATTTATACAATAATCAAGATTTTCTTTAATAGCTGGACGTATCATGTATTCACCATTCTTAAGCTGTAAACAAGCACGTTTTCGTAAATCTTTTAACTCTTCACAGTCAATTTTAAATATAGAAAACATATCTTGTGATCGCAACAAAGAAAGAGCATTATTAATTCCTTGAACTTTTAAAATTTCAACTTCAATATCACTAGTCATTTCTTCTATGAAATGAAAAAAATTATCAGATTTAAGATTGCTAATTTCGAGACGAGCTTCATTATTCATATCTGAAACAATATTTGTTTTAACAATGCCTAAAAAAACAATTTCAAATTATAGCTGACAAAACTTATATCAAAAAATGATTCTAGATTTTTTTCATTTATGCATTTACTAATGGATTTGCGGTCCATAAGAAAATGCTGACAAGGATGAACGACATACTCAGGCTGGTATAATGCATTCAGTAAGATATACAGTAATTTTTTAGGAAGAATTCATGAAAGACTTTCATCGTTTTGTTATTGACGTTTCAGATATCAAAGTGAATTCTTTTTGATAGTAATTTCCTTAGTTAACTATTCTTTTGAACAAATCAGTTCAAGTTTCTAATAGGCGTTTCCAACTATGTAAATAATTAAGCAAGTTAATTATTAATGCAATGAATTTAATAAAGAGTGAACCGATTTTCCTACAGAGTTCCACTAAGGAAAAAGCTTCGACTCAGTTTTAATATAAGCAACATTTCTGGGAGGTACTACTTTATGCGTAGCTTTTATTCATGGGCAGTATTAAATTATTGCTAAAATTGATGAAAGATTTATTGTGAGCAGTGTTTATTCAAACAAAGAATACACCTAATTAAAGATGTGCAATTACTGTATTATGTAATTAATATTTATTCAGAATTTATCTCATTATAATTATAAATATGCCTATATATAAATACATATACAAATAAGAACAATGTCAGGAAGAGATAAAATTGTATTTATGAAAAATAACATACGAGTGGTTAATATATATATTTAATATAAGAAACGTTTGCGTGTCTGTTACACAATAAACGCAACATCATTATATCAGAAATAAGTTAAAATTTAAATCATTCATTGTCAAAAGTCGTTTTCATTTTTACATTTGGTCTGAGTTCTATATTACTTACAAATAGAGAAAAAATGTATAATCTCTTATTTGTCTAATAGAATTTCATGAGTAAAAAGCATATGGAGATTCGAACATATTGAATGTAGTTAGTGACTTTCTCGCACACATGTAATCAATAGAATATACATGTTTATAACTTCACAATGTCATATTTATGTTTTCTAAGAGCTTCCATGAAGTGATTTCTTTTCATATTTTATAGAAATATCACATAGAGCAATTGACGTTTTTGAAAAATACATTTTAATAATTCTTTTTAATGTTCAATACGACCTAATTCAAATACAACAAAACGAGAATATTTTTTCATAATAAATGCAGCTGATATTACTCGTCAATAAGTAGGATATGAATGTGTGAATAGGAAAAAGACAATATTTAAGTCTAAAAAATTTGATATATGTTTTGAACTACATCTACTTTTAACGGCTTGTAATACTTCAGAATAATACAATCATAAAAATAATCACCTTGTCTATCGTATCTTTGTCTGTTTCGGATTATCCGTATTTCCCTGAGTCAATCCTAACTATTCCGAGCCATTCGAATGGCTCGGAATGTGTTTTTTTCCCCCTTGGTGTTTACTCTCTCAGCATTTTCTTTTCGGACTCAGTTGGGTTACTGTTGATATCGTACGCGAAGACGTCTTCACATACAGTTCGATGATGCAACAAGAGTAAACAGCTGCTTCCTAATTCTAATTATTTCTTGAGTCATTTTTTCCTTTACATATATGTAATACACAATATTCAAGAAAAGATAGTTTTGTGAGGGTTGCAAATTTCTACTTTTTTCCATTTCAGTATTTCTTGATCCGTTAGTTTAGTTCTGAGAAGAAATGCATGCACTAATACCATATTTTTTTCGGCCTTGAACAATTTCTTTTCTAGCATGTAATTATATTGATAATTTCATATATATTTCCATGAATATGTTAGTCAAATGCGACACTGCTGAAACATTGAGATATTTATAGTCTAATTCATCTTGTATTTTTCTTTGTTGCAGATATCCATCGGTGGAAAATACGAATTTGTCTTGCTCATGTCAGTATTCATATGATTGCGTGTATTCAGGAGGTGTATATGGAAATCTATCCGTAGTCGATGCAGTGCTCGAAAAAGGCGCTCTAAATCGCACACATATACCTGATTTCACAATTCCAGGAATGCTGGTTGGTTGCTTTCCTCTAAATACGCTACTCCAATCAACACTAGAATGTTTATTTAATTCTACCTGTCTGGCAATATTGCAATCAAGTATGCTGTTTATTCCTCCATTACCAGTGAAACCATTGAATCACAGTATAATGTCTCGTTTTAATTCAACAACAAAAATCGGAACGATTGCAGACGAACTACTAATTGAAGAATGGACGAGTACAGGCAATTATTCAGCATTCTATGAACAATGTCGCCCGACGGTGTGTACATACTCAATTGTAGCAAAAGCAAATTTGGTACTCATTCTTACTACGATAGCCGCTTTATTTGGAGGCCTTTCTACTGCAGTTAAGGTATTTGCACCATTTACTGTCAAAATATATCGAATGGTACAAAGTAAAACTCGAAAAATCAAACCAGTTCAGAATATTTCCACGCGAAGCATCAACACCAGTAAGTCATGCACATATGCGAATTTGAATCGTGAGAAGATCTTCTTGAATAATGCATCTATGAATAGACTATATATGAGGGCTTTCAAAGATGGACATAACTTCGCTAATTACTCCATGATTTTGGAGAACTGTTTAGCTTAAACTTGTAACGACCACCTTGTCGAATAATAAGGAATTTACAGAAAAAAATAATAGAGGGCAGTAAACGGTACCTGTCTTTCATCTCTCTACTCTTATTGTTTGTCAAATAGTTGTGCAAATTCTGAGGCACTGGTACAGTAAGCATATGGTACATGTATGAAGGTATCTCACTCTTCGTTTTTCATCAAATTATTCCTGCAACAATTTAATATGCTGTGTTAGTTTGATATAATAAAGAAAAGCCAGCCGAAATATATGGAACAGAAAATGAAAATTTCCAGAAGCCAACTGTCAAATAATCAAAAAATATCTTTCCGACTTCATTTAATAAGTCAGATTTCTTGTTTCTTTCGATCCTAAAATCGATTAATTCTTGATGGTTTTTTATAGAAAACGATGCGTTCAAAGAAACAGACGTTTTGATACTACTAATACGATCATTATTAGAAGAGCGAAAGTTCCAAAAATTTCTTGTACAGAAACCTTACTTAACTGAGAGTAAAGCCGAGAAATCTTTTATTTACATATTTAGTTTGATGACGGTTCCGATTTGAATGAGGCTGAATAGTAAAGTAACATCTTTAGTGTGAAATTAGTGTAATAAATATGGTTAAGATGATCTTGCAAAGATGCAATTATTATCAAAATTTTCTGTTTTGCGTCACTTGTGAAAGACACACAAGTACTGTTGGAGAATATTACAAGATGAAACGATGAAGAAGAAAATCAAAATCAACAGTCAAGGTGGACGGATACAAATAAATTCTTAGGACTTTCCAAACTCAAAATTAGTCCGATTAGGTCTGATGATTGTCTAGTTAGAAACAAAAATGATGAGTAATTTTATCATGAGTTGTAAAAAATGACAACATCTTTTTCAGCGTCGACGATTTTCTTTCTGGAAGGTTTACATGTTCGTTTGCATCTCTAAATCAAATGGCCAACTTTGTGACATTTTAATGTGCATGTTCTTACTGTACTTGAAACTGTTTGTAGCAAATAGATATAAGTCAAGAAGAACAGATAGCATTTAAATATTTCAAGAACGAAATATCAACACTTTTTAAACAATTCGCATCAAAATTCTTGACAATTTCATTTCTATAGCACGCTTCAATATCCAGGGGGTGCAGCAACTTTTGTTAAATGTACTATCATTATAGTTTTCGATTATCGCCCGGGTCAATCATGCTCGGTCGTGCATGGCCATTACACTACTTCTAAAACATTGTAAGACACAGTATGCATTATCTGTGTACGTAACATAATTCTGGCAATCGTAAACAGCACTTTACGCCATATTACAAAGACAAGAAATACTCACCGTAAACAGTCATCGCTCATGACATACTTACAAACGACCAAGGAGAACACTCCACCCCTGCGAACGTCTATAAATACAAAATGCTCTAACAGATCACCCATCCACCTCGGTCTTTTTTCCAGAAATTATACCACAAGAATTGAATTTTCCCTCATCCGGAATGTGAAGATCCGCGTAAATATCCTTCATTCGATAGAGAATGTAGTTGTGGGTGGGGGTAGCTGCGTTGAAATCTTCTCTATATTCACACCTCACATCCACAACAACACACCGTTGTTCATTGCATGTGTAGAACCTTTGATGAAAAGATCAGACGAGTAATGCTCGATAACGATAACGTTAAAAATTATTTCTGTCAAGAGAATCTATCGTGTAATACTTTTTTTAGAACGTTTCAGCAATCAAGCAGTACGACGGTATATCAAAGAGTTTTATGAAGCACTCCTCAACCTGAATTTATTTAAGCATCCGTATAATGATGAGTATGGTCGACGCTCAGAAATACTCACTACACGTCTCTATATTGTATTGCTGGTAATTTCTATTATAATTCTGACCTTTTATGCATCATTAACTCAGCACATGCAAACAATACAAGTGAAAAATCCGTCTATTAAGGTTTACCGACAACTCGCTGCCAAACATGGCGATACATTATCATGTCCATGTGCACAAATCACTGCATCGTATGATCGATTCCTTTTAATGAGAACGGTAATTTGAATACCATCATTTTCATTCAATACAATTGTACAAATAATTGTTCTGTGCATCAAGTATAAGTTTCAGAATGCAATACAATACTATAGTTGTCTAGTTCTATGCTATCCTATTTCCAGAAGGGAATCAGCAAAAATCTTTGCTGATCGCATCATCGATAAGAAGATGTCAGAAGTCATTAAGTGGGGATGCAATCAAGAAGAACAATGTATCGTAGGGAATTATTTTGAGAGTCGACTTATAAAATCTAACTTCTGACCTTAGAATTTCAACAGAGATTTCTGCTGTCGTTTCGCCACCTTCATTGACACAGTG